TCACCTTCGAAAATTGCCTTGCATCTAGATTTCCAGATCCACCAGCAGATTCCTGCAAAAATTGCTAAATTCTGTTTATCCTTTCCCATTTTACTGTCCAACCATTCTTCCAACCATTTGTCAAACCGAAAGTTCCCCTTATCATCAAACTTCAATGACATAGGGGAGCCAAACCAGCAGACTCTTGCCCATGGACATTGAAATAGCATGTGCTCAACAGTTTCCACATGTGTTCTGCATATCTCACATATCGGGTTCACTGAACACTTTTTCCTGTATAACGCTTCTTTAGTTGCCAAAGCCCCATTCACAGCCCTCCACATAAAATGCAGCACCTTAGGAGGTAATTTAATGTTCCAGATCCCGTTCCACAGGTTCTTAGAGGGTTTATAAGAAGAGCTAGGCTTATCAGTAGCATTATCCTTCATTACATTCAGAGCAACCTTATAGCCTAGTTTTACCATGTATTCACCGCGTCTGCTTTTTAACCACACCATTTTGTCATTGCTGCTAATTGATGGAATTTTGACCTGCATAATGAGTTCTTTGTCTTCATCATCAAGAGCATCCTGGATCTCATCAAAGTACCACTTCCCTTCTTTAATCAAACTATTTACCTTGAGGTTTCTTGAATTATCATTCAACCTTCTACTTTTCAGTTTCAAAGAATCTACAGTAGGAATCCACTGATCATTAAAAATAGAGATCTTCACACCATTCCCAACTTTCCAGCATAGGTCCTTCCCTATCAAGTCCCTTCCTTCTAAAACACTCGACCACCCCCAGGATGCTTTGTTTCCTTTCTTTGCTTCCAAAAAACATCCATTAGGGAAATATAAGCCCTTCAACATTTTACCCAAAGAGCATCTGGTTGTTGCACCATTCTCCATGCTGTTTTGCTAGCATAGCTAAGTTAAAGGCTTCTAGCTCTCTGAATCCCATACCCCCTTCTCCTTTAGCTTTGCACAAACTTTTCCAAGACTTCCAGTGGATTCTCCCCTCCTGTTCCTTCTGTCCCCACCAGAACTTAGACACCATACTGTCAAGCTCAACACAGCTTTTTCAAGGGAATTTGAAGCAAGACATTGAAAACACGGGTATTGCATTCGCCACTGACTTAACCAGCACTTCTCTTCCCGCAAAGGTTAATAGCTTTTGTTTCCAACCCTGCAATCTTAAACTCATTTGCATTTCACAAAATTAAGAGCTTCAGCTTTAGATTTCCCCCAAATCAGTGGTAGTCCCAGATACTTCCCTGGGTTCTCGCTTGCCTTTATTCCCAAAACATCATACACTTCCTTTTTCAAGCTGTCACTGGCGTTCTTTGAGAAAAAAACACAGGATTTATCAAAATTCACCACCTGACCTGATGCTTCACTGTAACAATCCAGAATGCTCTTTAACAACTTACAGTTTCTTTTCTCTGCATTGATGAAGAAAAGGGCATCATCGGCAAAAAAGCAGTGAGATAGGATTGGGCAGCTTGCAGCTAGTTTAATACCTCTTAAACGACCCCCTCTCCACAAACCATTGTGTCATCACCGAAAGAACTTCAGCAGCTAGGATAAAGAGATAAGGAGACAACGGGTCCCCTTGTCTAATTCCTCTCTCCATGTTTATATCAGCCACTTTCCTTCCTCCTACAAGCAGACTCAAACTAGCTGAAGTCACACATTCCATAACCCAGGTAATCCACTTCTCACCAAACCCAAGTCTTCTCATCACTTCTTCTACAAACTTCCATTCTAACCTGTCATAGGCTTTGTTCATATCTATTTTAATGGCCATATCCACCCTCTTCCCCTTCTTCTTATTCTTCAGATAGTGAAAGGCTTCATGAGCAATCAAGATGTTATCTTGGATCAGTCTGCCAGTTACAAATGCCCTTTGATGCTCAGATATGATTCTAGATAGCAACATTTTCATTCTGTTTGCTAGGACCTTGGATACAATCTTATAGGCAAAATTACAAAGCCCAATAGGCCTGAATTGCCCCACAGATTCAGCATTCTCCACCTTTGGAATCAGGACAATGTTGGTTTTATTTACCAAGTTCAAACTAGTATTATTCTGGAAGAAATCTCTTACCATCGAAATTACCTCCTCATTAACCACATTCCAAGCTGCATGGTAGAAAATACCAGAAAAACCATCAGGCCCAGGTGCTTTAAAGCCATTTAGTTGAAATGCAGCTAATTTGATTTCCTCCATCGTAACTTCTCTTTCCAGTAGCCTATTATCTTCCATAGTCACTTTCTTTTCTACAAACTGAAGGGCTACCTCCATATTTCTATTTCCTCCCGATGTGAACAAGCTCTTCCAATTAAATTAACCCATTTGCAAATAGATGTGTTCCAATTATGAATTTAGATATGGTTATTGCAAATTGGAAAAATTAATCTAACAGTCCTTATAATTTCATCAAATTTTGAATCAGGTCCCTATTATTTTTTTTGTTTTTATTCAATCCTTATTGTTATTTTTTATTATTAGGTTAGTCCTTCCGTCCAAAAAACTTGAAGATGCCGTTAAAGTTGACCAGGATGTGCGTTGAGGGTCATATACTCTCTCTGCACCTTCATTGTTTTCACCCTCCTCTTCACAGGCCTCACTCTGTTTTTTAGATTCGTCGTTTCCTTGTCACAGCTGTTATAATACTCTCCTCCTCCATTCTTGCTAAGCCAAGCTCTTATGTCTCGTCTGCAATTTCGATGAGAGAGATAATGATGAATCAATTCAAACAACCTCACTGTATCTCCAAATTCCCATCCAGCAAATTATCTTCGCCACATAACCTTACAACAAATATCGAAATTCGCAAAGACACACAATGGATTATTCCAATATCAAAATATAATTATTGATCGGAACGCTGGCTTCTCCTCTTTCGGTCTTCTTTCTCTAACTAATTCTTGATTCAGAAAATACCATTAGACACGGTAAGTTCAAACTCATAACCCTTTTCAAATTCTTGTTTCAGAATGAATGTAAAGATCCATTTTTTCAATGTTTATACATTACTTTCCTTTTATGACATTATTTTAGAGTGTTATTGATGGAAGTCAAAATCTTGTCTTTGCTTTAACCAAATCCTCGATGGAGAAAAAGACTGTAACAGCGGTGCTCCTCAACAAGGCTTATGCGCAACAAGACGCTAATGGTGATACCACCATGTTTGAACTCTTTTTGAATAGCTTCTGGCTGCGAGAAGGCACGAGGTCTTTGGTTTTTTTTTTTTGGACTCAGAGGTCTTTGGTTAATGGCAGAGAGATGATGATATTTGCTATGAAGGAGACTGGTGGAGCCGGGGAGAGAGAGGTTGAGCAGCGAGATGATGCTGTGTTAAGGAAGCAAGTGAACTTATGATTTATTTAGCGCTACAAGATCAACCCAAACTAACAGCATCTTCACATGTTTTGGATGGAAGGACTAACTTTATTAACATAGCAAACAATAAGGATTAAATAAAAAGAAAAAAAACAATGAGGAGCTAATTCAAAACTTGGTAAAATTATTAGGACTGTCATATCTATTTTTCCTTGCAAATTTGGGAATTCCACTTGTGAATAAATTGTGACAGTGAAGCCTTTCATTCAAGATTTGCAAGGGTGATGATAAAGGCCCTCCTTACCAGAATAGTGGTGATGGTGAAGGCTCTCCTCACCAGAGTAGTGAAAATGGCGAAGGGTCTTAAGAGCGACAATAAGCGAAGCCTCTCATTGAACATGAGAGGATGCTAATAAATATGACTATACCCTTCATCAGAGATGAGAGAAAGTGAAGTGAGACTGCTGAGAGAACAGAGCACAAAGAACTCAAACCAGTTTTATGCAGCAGAGGAAATTTAATTTCTATTTTGAGAGAATAAGAGTAAAACCCTATCAGACCATTTTCTTTTCCTCTTCCGACATTAAAGGTAACTTGGATATTTTGCTTCTCAATTTAATTTTAGTTTGGCCCTAACAACCTGCAGTGAAGTTTCAGAATTGTTTGGTTCTGAATTGAAATTATGTTGCTGCAGAGGTCCTTTAATGAAATTTTCCCAGTTTAGCCAATTATATCTATGTGCACTGCTTTAAATTTATTTATTTATATATAATGTATAATTTCTGCAAATTATGAGCCATAGAATTGCTCTTCAAAGCTCAAGCTCCATGGAGGTGGGATCTCATCTAATGTTGAATTATAGAGAGGTAGAGTTCAATCAATCTTTGTAAGAAATAGAAAAAAATAATAGAGTAAAATATTCTGACTATCTTTCTGGTTTGCATCAATTACACATATCTCCCTTCTATTTTAAAAACATACAGTTTAGTCTAATTAGTTAATACTATTAAGAATATTCCAAAAATATTATTTTTAACTGAAATTTATATTAAAATAAAATTTATTTACTATTCTGCTCCTCATTCTAATACATTCCTAAATATCAATTTCATTCAGTTAAGGCAATTATAAATTTAACTAATTTTATGAAATTTTATGATTTAAAATAAAATACGAAAATTATAAAAATCTTATGATTTAGATCAAAATTAATAAATTTTATAACATATTAGAAATTTTAAAGATAATTATTTTTTGATTTTATAACAATTTTTTGGAAAATGTCTAAATAATTATTAATTTAAAAAGGGGCATTTTGGTAAAAAAAATCATTTAAAATCAAACTTAACGGTCACCTAACAATTTAAGTATAGTAGAGAGGTTTGTATAACATAGGTATATGTTTTTAAAATAAAAAGAAAGCTTCTGTTATTAAGATAAAATATAAGGATAATCAGTATATTTTACTCAAAATAATATTAATAATTCTTAAACTAAAAAATTAATAAAAATTTCTAATAAAATTAAAGGCTCTAAAATATGCTTAATAATTGGAATTATTATTTTACAGTGAATTATTTTATTTCTTCCAGAAAGCCAACTCAGGAAATGAAGGGTGCTAATAGAAAATGAAAATGAAAATGAAAATAGAAAAACCTATCCTATCCGTTTGAAGTTTTTGCTGCTCGCTGGAGAGCTAGCAAAGAATGTACACTTCTGCAGCCATGGCTTCTCTGCTTTCTCTCACACCATCGCCATTGGTTGCAAAGCCAGCAAAGTACCCATCTCTTGCTTCTCCTTTTAAGGTATTTTCGTCTCACAATATTTGCTTAAAGTTTCCTTTTTCCTTCTTCTTCCCTCACAAATGTCAGTATTTCAGGGACGCTTGGAAACTTTAGCGGCAAAACCATGCAGCATACCGTCTCTGAAAATTCACCGAATTAGTAGAGAGAAAAGACCCCTTGTTATTCTCAATCAAGCTGCTTCTTCCTCTGCAGTTGTTACCCTTACCACTGAGCGCTTCCGACTGAATAATCTGGGCCCTCAACCTGGTTCGAGGAAGAAGGCGAAGAGAAAGGGAAGAGGTATATCAGCAGGTCAAGGTGCTAGCTGTGGATTCGGTATGAGAGGTCAGAAATCACGATCAGGACCAGGTGTGCGGAAGGGTTTTGAAGGGGGTCAGATGCCACTTTATCGACGAATCCCTAAACTCAGAGGAATTGCGGGAGGTAATGGCTGTTTTTCTTTTTTACAGTCTTAGTTACTTCAATTGTGGGTAGTCGAATTTATTATCCCAGAGTAATTATGTGTCTTGGTATTTTAATTCTTAGTGTAATTTTAATTCTTAGTATAATTGGGCCATCACATAATGATGCTTTGCTGAACTTATGACTTCAAATGTGAGATTATGAGCAATTTCTTGAATGGATGCATACAAATCACATCTGATATTTAGCTTTATGAACTTGGGTACTCTGCAATACCAAACTTCATAATGGAAGTTCCAAAAGGTTGAGAACTATAACGAGAGAAATAGACTCTGACGAAATCATAAATCTGCCTCTCTTTTTGTAGGTCAAAGAAAAAAAAGTCTGTTTTTTCTTTCTCCAGCTTTATTAAGAAGGAGAGTAGAAATCATGTTTCTATTGACAATGCGATTCTATGACTTAGGATCCAATAACCGAATAAAGGAATACCAAAACTACAGTTCGTTATCAGCGCCCTTGGAAATGTTTAATGACATATCCTGTACCTTAGAAATATATTTTATGTATCAGTTAATGTTTCATGCTTATGTATGCATACAATTGGGATTACGCGTACACCCTACACCATTTTTTATGTATCAGTTAATGTTTCATGCTTATATATCAGCTAATCTCTAAGGTACACCCTACACCATTTTAAGTGCAAACAAATAGTACATATATGTAGATCTGCTTCAAATTGTCACATTCATGGGTCTGTATATTTCTTTATGAACTGTATATTGATTCCTGTTTTTTTTTCCCCCCTATTTTTTGTTTGGGCAGGCATGCATGCTGGATTACCCAAATATGTCCACGTAAATCTGAGGGATATAGAAGATGCTGGATTTAAGAATGGAGAAGAGGTATCTCTAGAGACATTGAAGGACAAGGGTGTAATTAATCCATCTGGAAGAGATAGGAGACTTCCTTTGAAGGTACAAACTTGTTAATTTATTGACATGTAAATTTCCTTCTCTATGTATTCTCTCTGTCCTGCTTCTAACAGATGGTATAATTCTGATTTAGATTATGGTGCATGTGTGGATGAAGTGAAACTGAGAAAATGGAATGTATACTTCTTCTATGTGATTTGAACACCATTTATAATGTGTTTGCACTTACACATGCGCATGCATGGGTTTCATTCACATTGGTGTAAATCAAACTCAAACTTAAATGGTTATACATGTGAATAAAATTGATTGCCATGATTATATTGGCATGTTAATGAATATGATGACTTGGAACTCTGTTGTCTGCTATCATGTGGTTTAATCTAACCAAGGTATATGAATATTACCCAATCAAGACTCTCAGGTGTACAAGCCTCATTGAAGTTCGCAGACCAGTGGATCTGAACTTGACTGGCAATTCAGTGTCTATGTTTGCTTTATGACTTAACATTGTTATGTAATGATTCTTAGCCGCTCATGTTGTAGCAATAAGAAACAAAAAGGTGATTCCTGAGCTAGATGAGGTGATTCATATTCCCAACTTGGCTTTTGCCTGAAACAATTCCACGTCAATAAAATAATTTTCAATTTCTTGTCATTTCTTTTTTCACTTTGTTGACACTGCTCGAGTTTATCTGGTTGTGTAATTACATATGTTTTTGGGTCTTGATGAAGGTAATATTTTGTTACACTTTGATTACAGATTCTGGGAGAAGGAGAACTAAGGAAGAAGCTGACTATAAAAGCTCGTGCATTTTCAACATCAGCTAAGGAGAAGCTCGAGAGTGTCGGCTGTTCACTCACCGTTCTTCCTGGCCGTAAGAAGTGGGTTAAACCATCAGTTGCTAAAAACCTTGCCCGTGCAGAAGAATACTTTGCCAAAAAACGAGCTGCTGCTGCTTCTGAACCAGCTTCAGCTTGAAGTTGCACCAAATATTTCCTCTGACATTTAGAAATTCTTGAATAGAGATGCGGAATGATCCCTCTTTAGGAAAAACATCTCTCATTGAACTTTGCTGAGATCTTTTTCTTTCTCTTCCTCAACTTACTTTTTATTTTTCATTTTTGTAGTATTGTTTGTTTCTTGTCCTGTTTCGCTTTGTAATGTTGTCAAGTTCTGCTTCCAAAGCAATGTTTTATACCTAATGAAATTTGATTCTGCCAGTGGTATGATGTTTTGGGGGTAGTGATGTACAAAACTTGTTAAAATTGTCCCATTTTTTCAGCAGCATATTGCAAGTTGACCTTCAGAAAGATGTAATTAGTTTAAGATATAGTACGACGTTGTTTCTTGTTCTAATGAAATTCTTCCTGTCCCTTTCTTCTCTATCAGTTATCCATATTCTGTTTGAAACACAGAATCCGTACGTTAGAGAAGAGCCACTAGGCTTTGGCTGATGATGGCCCATTGCAAGTTGAAACATGTAGATGCCACGTAACTTGGTAAATACGCATAGAAGATGCAATCCTTTCCGAAAGATTCCTCTCCCCCAACGAGGTATTTGAGTGCACATCTTCTGCTTAAGATATACAGAAAAAGTAGTAAAAAAATTACGTGAAGAGATAAACATGCTCTCGGATTTCTCAAGCTTGATGGATAGTCAAGAACTAGATAACTAATTTAAAAATATTAAAAAAATTAAGTTGATTATTTCTTACAAATATGTATTGATTTCTCTAAAATACTTTCTTCAATTATGTGTATTTAATGATTGGAATTATCTCTTGATTGGAACTTTTTATAATTAATAGGAATATTTTGAAAACAAAAATGAAAAACAAAAGGAACCAAACTTTTATATTTGAGACCAAACTCAACCTCCACTAGCTCTTATGTGAAAGAACAGAAGTAGTAATTTATAGTGCTACATCTTAATTCAAATTATCCAATTACATCACAAATAAAGTTTAGATGCATGCATATTTTGAACCCAAAAAAAAAATAGTTGAAATTAAGCATATATAAAACTTTTATTTTTTGGGGAAAAAAAATAAAAACTCAGTTAATATTGGAGAAAGTCCCAAGTCTTCCATCGCCCTGAATTTTTCAGCTTTTATTTTCCTCCATTACATAATACCATGTTGAAGTTGGTTTTTATATACCGTGTTCAACAATTAAAGTTGGTTCCTTGCAAACACCCTCCACTTGCGTTTTGTTGTCTTCTTACGAGACCAAAAAGCTTTTCAGGCTGACTTTGTTTTGAAACTAACAATGATGTGTAATGTCCCAAACGTAGAGAACGTGGTAATTTGGCAAGTTGATACATTTGCTCTTTTTTTCTAATCAATAAGGTATCAAACCTTGCGTCATGTGCAAATAATTTTTTTCTTCTCATTTTTACCCTTCATTTAAAAAGTATCTAATCACTAAGGTATCAAACCCAACTGCCTAGATGCAAGTATTGATTATACCTAGAAGGGTTTTTTTTTTTTTTGAAAAGGAGTATTAGCCACAGAGAGAGATCTATATTATTAAAAAGATAAAAATTAGAATTTAAATTTTTTACTTGGATAATTTAAACCCCTTTCTCTGCAGGGGAAGGAACCCACGCACTCATCACACATGCATCTATTTTGGTCATTTGAGATATAGAAACTAAGATCATCTTTATGAAAAGAGATATGGAGTGTCCCCTGAACCGTACACTTGGAGAATTTATGTTTAAAAATGAGAAAGTATTGCATAATGGTAAACAAAATGGATGTCAAAATCAGGGGCGTTCACTTAACAGGAGGGCCACTTTGGGATTATTGACAGAGGCACGCAGATTGGAATTTGGAAAGGAAGTTGGCATATATCAAATAGAATGATGAGAGCAATTAGACAAATAAAGAATATATTTGAGGTTCGTGTTGATTTTGGATATATTCATCGACAAGGAAAATATGCAAAATGCCCAGACCAATTTGCAGAAACTCTCATTTCTGTCCACAAGAGCCTGGTGTGGACCAAGGCTTGAAAATTCTTCCAACCAAGCAAATCAAACGGAACCTTAATTTTATCTGTCTAACCCTTTTTGCGGCCCAAAAGCATACTACATATTGATAACATAGGACAACAAAAGGAGAAGAGAATCCCAGTTGGATTCTCTGCGAATGCGATCCAATCACAGGCGATAACAACATTAAAGAAATTAATGGAGATTAGATCTAGTGAAAGGAATTATCTTTTAATAATATGGCAACTTAAGACTCGAATCTCCTCTAAAAGAATGTTCACATCTTTTTTTTTTTTTTACAAGAAAAAGAATTTTCACATCTAATTTCTCATAATATTTCGAAAATAGAGTTATTTTTAATAAGAGAATATGTATGTCTATTGAAAAAAAAAAATGGAATGAGAAAAAAATGGAATGAGGGGCATCAATTCCGCGGAACAATACGCTTATATCCTTTTGTCAAAATACTTGACAAGCTAATTAGTTGCCTTGCTCAACAAGGTCATATGGCTAGGACGTATATATAAATGATTTCTAATCACCTCGCCAAATTTTTAAAAAATAATTAATTCATTGATGTTATTTGAAAAATATTTTTTTTCCATTTATCCCTCTCATATGAAAAATCTTACCTAACTCATAAAAAGATAAAATTGGAAAAAATAATTAATAATCTATATTATGAAATGTAATTTATAAAAAGTATAACAATTTCTTTTAAAAAGTAATGTATTTACATACCGCACTCAAGGGAGATGTAGAGTAGATATGAGTCTCATAAATATTGTTTATATTTATAGTTCTTAAAATATAGAATATATTGCATAGAATAGGCTAATGCTACTCATGATTCATGAATTATTTATAGCACTGTTGTCAAACTCGCGAGTTGACTCTCTGAGTTTAATGTTTTTATGTTTTCAACTAACAAAATTATGTTAATTCGTCCTTAAACTTGTGATAACTCTAAACTCGGTTAAACTTACGAGTTTATTTACCAAGTTTACCGTTTTTAGTTTTTAGCTTACAAAACCGTGTTAACTTGCTCTTAAACTCGTGCTAAATTTTTAGATTTGATTATGTTTAGTGACTTTATATATGAATTTTATAGAAATTTTTTTATTGAATGTGATAAATTATGAATATTGATAGGTATAATTTCAATTATTTAAATTTAAAATATATTTAAATAAAATTGTTCTCATTTTTTATATATTAATTATTTGATTATATACTTTTAATACTAGTTTATTAATAAAAGTAAACTCTTACGAGTTTATGATCTGAGTTTTATCATTATCTCGAATTTGTTGAAACTTGCGAGTTTGACAATCTTGATTCATAGTATCAATTGCTATAAATTTTCATTCAAAAATTTCATTAATTACCTTGACATGATGACTTTAGTGGAAAGAAATAAATATGTGAATGATACATAAAATTAGGGGGGGAACAAAATTAAGATGTAGAATTACATGTGAATTTGTCGGGAAAAAATACATATGAATTTGAAGGACAACTTTGAAGCTAAAGAAAAAAATATACTACTACCTCTTATAGTGATTCAATTTGGTTCTAAATTAAAACCATGCATCCCATACTTATTTGCTTTTTCCTAAAATAGCCTTTATGGTGATTATACATGATAAAGTGTTTCCATTCTAATACACATAATTAACAAAGAATATTTTAATAAAAACGGCACTCATTAATTATAAATAATTGATTTAACTGACTTTTTTAATATTTATAAACCAGTTATCTAGTTTTTATATTGAGAACCGAATGTAGTATTGTTCATGTAAAACATGTTGAGTGTGATGATATAGAACGATGTGAGGAACGGGAATGAAGATCTGAGATGAGGATTTGCCAGTAATCATTCAAAAACTCGGGAGTTAGGAGTGGCTAAATCAAGAATAATTGAATATGCATGCACTTCCTTATTCAACTCGCCTGCGTTCCACTTCCTGGGAAGCATGGCAGCATTTAAAAATATGCCTTGTCCCTCGTCTGGTCAATTATTTCTTTTTCATTCTGCGACGCGTCGTCTTCTTCTATTTTTCCTTCAAGATTCTTCACTTATATGATCACCCCATATATACTTTATTATACACCACTTTGCCCCACGAACTAATCAACTTGGCCTTCATCACTTTAAACGTTCACATGTATATATCCCATAAAAAAATTCACATTTTTTATTTATATATTATACCTATGTCTAATCCATATCTGTAGTGCAATTCCATTATGCTTTTTTACATCATAAAATCCATATTTGTCTGTATTTTGAATTTGGTTTTTTTCATTTTTATTTTGATTGTTCATATTTCTTATTTATTGTGTTGTTATTGGTTCGTTTCAAATTTATTTGTTGTTTTTATTTTGTTTGTTACTAAATGAATGTTTCATTAAAAAAAAAACTAATTCTTTTTATTTCATCTTACATATTTTATGCATTTCATCTTATGAAATGTTTTTTCTCATTCATAATTTACTCAAAAATGTCATGGTTAAGAAAAATCTTTATATAATTTATCTTAATATATAAAATTAAAAATATACTTAATTTCAGCGTAACTGATCTGGCCTCTATTCAACTATAGTCCTTTCTTTATGATCCAATTCAACTATAATCTACTGTACTTATTAATCACTGAACCAACTCATGTAAAGACGAATTTAATTTTTAATGCTTTAATATCCCTGCCTACCTTTATTAATATTATCATTAACATTCAATTTCCCAAGCACGTCATAGATCACTTGGTTCCTAATGCGGACCACCACATGGCCCAAGTTGGTACGGATTTCCCTCCATCATTATTACCACTTGATCTCATAAATTTTACAAATACAGATCCAGATCTACTTACTTTAATGTTTAAATACCAAAAAAAAACTCCGGTCAAAAAAAAAAATACCAAAAAAAAAACCGTGTTTTGGGTTTTTAAAAAAAAATTTGATAGGAGGAACCATTTACGCCCCCATCCTTAATTTGGGTTGAACCCGACCCCTGCCTAAAATTTATTTACCGAAATAAATAAATAAACTACTCTTTTATTATTTCTAATTACTTCCTATATCAATTTCCTTTTTCTCAAGGAAAAAAAAAACATCAGGCAGTTTTTAAGCTGCAAAGGCCCAACACTGAGTATAAACAAATCTGATCAAGAATCAACTGAGGACACTCATCATTTGTGACATTGTATCTAGCTCATGTTGAGTTAGACAAACATATCAACGTTACTGCAAAGCGCAAAGTAATTTATTATAATAAATTTAATTTTCAATGAACTGAAAAACCAGTTGAATTTTAAACAATTAAAATTTAAATTTAGCTTATTTTAATTTTCTTTTTCA